CTTCGGTCAGTTTGGTTCTGGTTCTCCTGGAGGTTTCTTCCTGTTAAATGGGAGTTTTCCTCTCCACTGTCGCTACAAGCATGCTTGTTGTGAAGGATTGCTTTCGAGTCAATAACTTAATGCTATGAACTGGTTTTCTTTTGATAGAAAACTTTAAAATAATCTGACTAGAAATTTGGTTGAACTGTCTCTCTAAAGTGCCTTAAGATGACATGAATTGTGACTTGGCGCTGTACAAATGAACTGAATTGAAATAAACTCAATATTTTCCCTTGTTTATCTAAATATAGTCATTTCATATCTGTCTTCTGGAAACAAATCACAAATCTACATTTTGGATTACAGAGGAACCACAGTAATTATGTCTGCATCGGAAGGGCATAATCTAAAGCTCTGCAGGCCTCAGTTTTCCTCTGAGTTAATGATTTAACTACAGTAATGGTTGCTTTAATCTCACTGTGACAGACTGTTCCAGGCTGACAAGTCATGTAGAAAAAAAACTGTACTCCCTGAATCCTTCAGTTAAATCTGCAACATTGCAGCTAAATAGTTTGTTAGAAATTTGCAGAGCCAAATAGGGCCTCATGGTGTTACTCTGCAGCGGTGCCGCCCAGCATCTGCTCGGAAACATTCGTAGGCAAAACCTGCCCTGGAGCAGTGCAGACATACAGCTAGGCCTTGAGAAACATAAGGAGGCGGGGTGGGGTCCGAGAAGGAACATTCAGTCCCAAAGCCTGCAGAGGAAGGAACAGAGATGTTGATAACAAAGAGCAAAGACCGGAGAAATTCCTCCAAAGATTGCAGAAAAATAGGTTTCTAGCTGAACAAACCATGTGGATGTGAGGCCGGCTTGTGTCAACAGGAGCCAAACGGTGCTGGAACTAGCTAACCTCACTCTGTACATGTTGGCCTTTTGTTTCACACTTGGCCTAGTTTCCCCGTTCAGCTGTGGAGGCAGGTTGCATGGTTCCCCATTGAAATGATAATGTGAGGCAGGCTGGCTAACACTTAGATCTGTTTGCAGTTCTGCACTCAGTAAACAGGATATACACTGAAATGCAAAAGTATTTTACACCCAATGAGGCTTTTACATTTATTTCTATTATAGCACTTTATGCAATAGACCAGATCAAATCTCCATAAGAGAAAATAAATTTGAGAAAGAGAATTACTAGGAACAACTCAACAATCCAGCGGTGGCCTATATTATTTTTATGTAACCATATTTAAATCATGTTGAGTCATCCAGTTCAGAAGGATGCCGACATAATGCGGAGGATGCCTCCATATGGCTTCAAATGAATACCACTGTATATTCACAACATTTATTGATGCAAGTATTTTATAATATAACCCTAATATACAAGTTAAGTGTATTTTCTAGTAGTTTTTATGTGTTTTTGTCCTCTACGTTCTCTTGCATCTCTGCTATTCCTCTCCTGACAGAATATATGGATACAGGATGTGAAAAATGGGACAATGAGGGGTGCAACAATCCATCTAGATTAAAAACATATAGTTTCACAACTAATATGAGCTTAGATATTTAAAATAACATTCATAGATTGTTTTTGGGTTTTTTTTGGCGATAATAATATATGACAATAATACATTTTATTTATTAGCACCAGAGATAGCAAAAGTACTCACTTTCCATGCTTGAGTAAAAGTACAGATACTTGTGTTAAAAAATACTCTGGTTAAGTGGAAGTACTGATTAAACTTCTTTACTCAAGTAAAAGTAACAAAGTACAGGCTTGTAAATTTACTTAAAGTATAAAAGTAAAAGTAGAAACCACTTTTTTCATGCTGTTGCCTACATTTTAAATGGATGTCTGCCAATAGGACTAGATCTCCGTTGTGTTCATTTTCAATCATCTCGTCGTCCATGCTACTATGCTAACGCCACCGCCACCAAGCTGCAATGATTTGCCGCCAATGAATACCGCCGAATCTGTCGATTCATCTTGTAGCGGTGCGTCAAATGCAACGTAGATTCCCATCCAATTAGATTGAATTTGGTATTGATGACGTGAAAAATAATAACGGTAACTCCATTGAAATGATTCAAAACTAAAGTAACGAGACAATTTTTTAAAATGTAAGGAGTAGAAAGTACAGATATTTGTGTAAAAATGTAAGGAGTAGCAGTAAAAAGTCGCCCTAAAAATAAGTAGTAAAGTAAAGTAAAAATATCAGAAAAATCTACTTGAGTACAGTAACGAAGTATTTGTACTTCGTTACTTCACACTTTGACTTTTAAAGAAAACCAATAACCAAACACACACAAACACACGCTCGCACATGAGACCAGTTCAAAGAGTCGTGTAAATTAAGACATCTGATATTACAACCTTCCTAGATTACATGACCAGAGAGAATAACAAATGTCCAATTTAAAGTAGCAGATTCCCTGACCATATGTTTGCTGACCCACTTTCTTTCCCAAGACCGTAAGCACATGAAGACGTACACTTCAGTAGGGCTGTACTCGTCCAATCATAGACCCAAAACCATGGCACATAAAGTGAGCTTCCCAGGTGTAACAGTGGTGAAAGCCAATCGCACAAGGAAAGACAGAGGTCCAATCAGGAGCTTGTGGGCGGACCAAACTCAGGGAAGTGGGCTTTAGATTGAGCTGCGGTTTCCAGCTAGGTCCTAGTGCTCGATGAGTGTTGGTGTACTTTAGCGTAACGTTGTTATTTGAACGGTAAAAAGTGCAGGGGACCAAAATGGAGTTTTGAAAAAAAACAGGCTAAATGTCCCCCATGTCTCCGCCCATAATTACGTCCCTGCCCCTGTAGCTCACATTAGTTGCATCCAAAATGTAGCTAGTTTTCTGAAAGATTGCCACACCCTCCTTGTGTATTTGTTATTTTTGTTTTAAACACTTTGGCTTTGCTCAGTTTGTTTGTAAATAATGCCCTTCTGATGATCTCACTTCCTGTTTCCTTTTTCTTTTAAGTTTTTACTCTTCGGGTTCTCAAGTATGCTTTGTTTTGTTCTGTTTTTGTTCTAGATTTACATCTTTTTTTGTATTCTTAGTTTTCCTCATCCTGTTTTTTTTTTCCTACATTATTGGTATTTGTATGGTTTCAGTAAGTTATTTATCCTTTGGTCATGTTTTCCATAGTCTTGGCTGTTTTCAATCAAGGCGATGGAACACATTGGTTTTTTTCTTTTTTGCGCATTTGTTTGTTTTAGTTACCTTTAGATGCTGTTGTTTCCCCTGCTTATTCTCTGTTGCCACCTAGTGTTCTTTCCTTTCCCCTTAGGTCCTTCTAGTTACTTCTGTCTACACCTGCTCCCTATTAGCTAATTATTCCTTCCCTTTGTTTCCTCCCTGTTCTGTTACTCTGAGCTGGATCCCCCTTAGGTTTATTGCTCCCTAGTGTCTCCTAGGTTTTTTGGTTCCTGGGTTTCTTGTCTATTGGTCAGTTCTGGACTATGAACTCTGCATTTTACTTTTTCTTTACATTTTGCAAGAAATCATCTATGCCTCTTTTGTTCTGCATTTGGGTCCCCAACTAACATCCACTAGACTTCACAGTGCTACGCATGTGCGTAATGGTTAAGTAGTGGGGCTAAGCTAGATAACACCTGCCAGCAAGTAGACCGGGAAGAGTCTGAAAAAGTACAAAAAATGATTTCAAAAGGAATCAGACTCTACTTGTACTGGGATTACAGCCTGAATATTGTGGGTCACTGGAGTCGGGGCTAAAACTGGATAGCCTCGTGAGACCATCCTGATCTCGCGAGCTTTCAAGGTTTCACTTGCAGATCAGTCTGGAGACTCTCTGTTAAAGAAAATTTGGGGCTGTTCACCAGACGAACGTCCAATCAGCGTTGGCTATGAGGAGGGTTGAGGTGTGATGCAACGAGAAGCGCCACAGTTCAGTCTAAAGAACATGGCGGCTTCAGCCGATGAAACTAGCGTTAGCGTGGCTATCGAGCAAGTTTTATCGGAATTACAGAGTATTTCTTCACTGAAAGAAGAGCAAAACACTGCTCTTGAGGCTTTTCTCAGAGGAAAAGATGTTTTTGCTCTTCTCCCGACTGGTTTCGGCAAGAGTTTGATCTATCAATTGGCTCCTCTTCGTTGTCGCTCTGTTAGTACGTCATACGCTTCGTTGATCTGATTGGTTTATTTGGCCCGTCTATCACCAACATAGGCCAATCAGCTAACCAGTATTTTCGCCCCCTTCCCAAAATTACTTCAACAGAAGGTTTTCCAGATGGGTATGCGGAGCAAATCCATCTGGCGGAGTCAGGTTAAAAACTGGAGTCCTTTAGGATTTAATGATTGCATGAATGCCCTTATTAATATTGGTGCTAGTGATAGCAATGCTATTCTTGGTATCTACAGTCTAAGAGCAAACATTTTAAACAGGGGGGGCAGAATGTTAGAGATTGAACTAATGAATACCAGAGAATGAGAGAATAGAGATAGTGTGATAAAAAGGGGTCAGTATGCCCTCCAGCAGATTAAGCCTATAGCAGCATAACTATATAGAGATAGCTCAAAAGAAACCACTAAGAACAGGACCTGGCTTTAGAAGACAGACTCCATTTACTAAGTGACAAAACTGATGTTTTGTTCACATTCTAACAATGTATCCATACTCAGAATTTGTATTAGTGCACAGCACTATTTATTACTCTGTTAAGTAGCATCATCAATTCTGTGGTACTGCCAGCAGATGTTAAACTGCGTAATTGTCTCGAATAATTCAGGAAATCTTGAAATTAGAATTTCACCAGGCGTTCAGAGTAAACATGGAAGACCGGCAGCTCACATTCCAAGCTGCAGAGCATCGAATACAAGTGCACCACAGATTAAACACCGGGTTCACCAATGAGGTGAAGAAGAGATAGATTTTGTTTTTTAAGACCTGATCAATGCAATCAGTTTTTATAGACTTCATACACAAAGGTAGGATACTGCACAATTTTTATTTCTTCTTTGAAGACGTATCAGCAACATAACAATCCAACATTGGTGAAATATATTAGTTTTTTTTTATTATTATTGATTGCAAACAATTGTTGTGGCCCCTGATGGCACCTTAGTTAAAGACAGATGGGCAGAAATAACACAGATGTGTTTGATGATGATTGTGCATTTGAAAGTGCTGCATCATAGAACATGTTTTTTATTTAAATGATAGCAGAATCAGCGCAAACTAAAGTGTATTAAACATCAGCTCATTGTCAAAGGGTTGATTTTATCGTCTGACAATGCCGTCGCTCTTCCTCTGTATCTGTTTCCTGGACAAGTCGCTCTTCTTCTTCCAGCTGCTGCTGGGGTGGCTCTGTTGCAGCCTGTAGGTTTTCCTGGCTTCAGCTCTCTCCTTCTCCATAACCTCTGTGTCATCCAGAATCTCCAGGCCTGGGATCTGACTGATCACATAGAGCCTGAGGGGAGGAAAATACAGCAATAACAATCAACAGGGTTGGACAGACATTCTTTCGTCCGTAGTTACAGTCCATAACAACCAGGTGATACAAGGAAAATATTCCTTTTTTTCCCCTTAAAGTACAGTTATGGTTGAACAATTACTGCTTAAAAAATGAACTCAAATAACACATCCAGGATCTGCATGAATGAAATTCTCATTGTATTCTTTGTTCCGTACAAAGATGGATGTGCTAACACCAAAAACACATAAAACCGTTGATGGCAATCCAATTTATTATCCAATGGAAACCTGAATTTAGAGTCAAACACCAAATTAAAGTGGAAAAACTCTACAGGGTGAACCAACTTTGATGTAATGTCCTAAAAAACAATTCAAAATGAGGCTCAGTATTGTGTGTGGCCTCCACCTGCCTGTATGACCTCCCTACAATGCCTGGACATGCTCCTGATGAGGTGGCGGATGGTCTCCAGAGGGATCTCCTCCCAGACCTGGGCTAAAGCATCCACCAACTCTGGATAGTTCGTGATGCAACATGACGTTGGTGGATGGATCAAGACATGATGCGCCAGATGTGGTTAATCAGATTCAGGTCTGGGGAACGGGTGGGCCAGTACATAGCTTTAATGCCTTCATCTTACAGGAACTGCTGACATGCTACAGCCCCATGAGGTCTAGCATTGTCCTGCATTAGGAGGAATCCAGGGCAACAGCACCACCATATGGTCTCACAAGGTGTCTGAGGATCTCATCTCGGTACCTAATGGCAGTCATGCTACCTCTTGCAAGCACATGGAGGGCTGTCAGGCCCTCAAAAGAAATGCAAACCCACACCATTACTGACCCACTGCCAAACGGGTCCTGCTCAAGGATGTTTGAAGCAGCAAATCATTTTCCATGGTGTCTCCAGACTCTGTCATGTCTGTCACATGTGCTCAGTGTGACATCTGTTAAGAGCACAGGGTGCCAGTGAAGCCTGCAACGGGTATGGGGCATTGCAGGCTAACAAAACAATCCAAACGACCCCCATTCTGAAGGGGTGGACCTGTTTGTTCATTTCAATTTGCATGTTTTCAAAAGATTATGATGGGCTACTTTATAAAGCCTCGAATTCAACGCTATTCGTGACATATTGAATTGAAAAAGCTTCCTGGATGGGAAGCGAAACATCTTCAAACTAGGAAACAAAAAAATTTTTTTTTTTTTTTTTTTTTTACTTTTTTTGGAATGACTATGACCTGGAAGACTGAGAATCTTCACCAGCCATGTGATTTGTTTCCCTGATTGTAAGGAAATCCAGTACAATGTACAGATGAATGAGTTCCACATCTTAAATGGTGGAAAAGGTGCAGGAGTAAAAGAGCTTGTGAAAAAGTGTGGAACATAAACCGTCATGCTGACGCAGTTGGTAGAACACTCCACCAGAGGACGCTCTTCCTCCAAACATTAAAAAATTGACAAACTACTGGTTTTAAATAAGGTCTTATACATTTGCTTCAGGCTAAAGTAAAATATATCAGAAAAATCCTGGTCAGTTCTAAGCAGCAGTAATTTGAATAATTACAAGTAGAGCAGATGATGTAGTTATTTCCAACGTCTGTTTTCTATGTACAGCACCTTAGAGATGTTTCTAGATACATTCCAAAAAAGTAAAAAAAAAACAATCCTCTGGACTTTGTTTCCAAGTTTGAAGATGTTTCTCTTCCCATCCAGGAAGATTTTTCAATTCAAAATGTCAGAAATAGCGTTGAGTTCCAGGTTTTATAGAGTGGACCAAAAACAAAGCCTTGTTTTAGCTTAGAAACATGCATTTTGAACCTGACGAAGGGTCCGCCCCTTGGGAATGAGCAGTTGTTGGGTTCTTTGTTAGCCTGCAATACCCAATACCTGTCTATGTCTCTGAAGGAGAATTGTTAGAGGAGGGTGCTCTGCTGCCCTACATGAGGGTGTGTCTGCGATGATAGCAGGAAGGGATCAACTCTATTGCTGCACTGTAGGTTTTTGACCTGAGTCCCCACCTCGGTTTAAGGTTGGTTTTTCTTTCTTAACATAAATGGCTTTCTTCACGCCCCTCTCAAACCACCTATTTTCTTTGTCCAAAATGTTCTAACTAGGCCAAAATGTTCAACATTCTGGTCCTCCAAAGAATGTCCTTTGTCCATAAGGTGTAGATGTATCGCAGAGTCTTGTCTCGAGGAGGTGGCACTTCTTTTTTGGGCCATGCGTCTGTGCAGAAGTTGTTTGGTTTCTCCGATCTAAAGATCAGAGCATTCCTCACTGCACTGAACTGCAGACACCACTCCGCTTATATTTGGTCTTTGGGTTTTGTCTTTAGGATGCGCTAGTCTCTGTTTAACCCTCGAACTTCACGCTATTTCTGACATTTTGAAATTAAAAAGCTTCCTGGATGGGAAGTGAAACGTCTTCTAACTTGGAAACAAAGTCCAGTGGATTATTTTTTTACTTTTTTGGAACGACTATGACCTGGATGACTGAGAATCTTCACCAGCATACACACTGCAAAAAAGGTAGATCTAAATAATCATTTTTTTCTTAAAATAAGAGCATTTTTCTTGAATTGAGGACTTAAGTGAGACACTTTGCCAATGTAACGAGACAATTTACATTTAAAATAAGAAAAAAACTAATTGCATTGTCTTATTTCAAGTACATAATATCTAATTATCTTATTTAAGAGTCAAAATCTAATTGCATTGGCAAATCCTCTTATTTACTTACTCAAATTAAGGGTAAATACACCCTTTGGGCCCAAATGATGATGTAATCTTTTGTTTTCTAGTCTAATTATCCTCCTACGAAGCAAACACCTCAAACACAATGACTCTTTTTGTGTCATCATGGAAATGAGCAAAGAAAAACTTCCAGAAGCCTGGATGCTCAATGTTTATCTTTAATGAGAAATATGCAAGATGTTGGAGGTATTCTATTTCATTTAATCTGATCGTGTACTAACCTTGTTTATTCTTTTTATTATCTTTATTTGACTCTTGTGAAAGTATTCCTTTGCAGGTTAAATGGTGGAAGTGAATGTTCTTCATGTGTATAACTCAAGGTTGCTGCTTGCATGAAGACATCTATGCGTATCCCTGTATCACGCTGCTACTTACTCCCAACACATTCCTTTAGAGTTCCGGCATGATCTTTTGCAAATAGGGACTCTCTTTTTCTGATAAACAGCGAGGAAGAATCATTACATGGTTTAGAGTGCTGGGAGACTGTCACTGAGGACGTCTCTGCCTAACACAAGGCAATGGGAATTTCCAGCCAGCATTCAGATCAGGAAAGAGATGGGTTTTGTCTGAAATGAACAAAATCTTTTGAAGATGCAGTTAAAGATTGCAATAGGAATAGGTTCTTCGTACACAGCGAACTGGATCATGTACCAATTAAGCCTCAGAAGAAACCATAACTCCAAAGGAACAACAAAAACAATACGCTCAGACGTTTGGTCTTGAATTGCTGTTGTTACATTCACAAATCATGAATGACGACACCAGAGTCAGTGGGGGCCTATAAAACTCATTTTACATGTATGGTTAATACAACTATTCCTTAATTGTAAACATTAATTATGTTTTTGATAAAAATCCTTTCGTTAAAATGCCAAAAGAAGTGTATCTCGAGCGACTTTTTTTTCTGCTACTGGAGACTTTGGAGACAACGTCTAAAAGCAGCGAACTCTGCTCCCCAGAGCAAGTAGATTGGTAACCCCGCCTCCTGCTCTCCTCTATCTTGTCTGCTGTCATGATTCATGCAGCTATTATTTCATCCAAATGAAAAATGGAGAACAGATAAGCAGATCATGGCTTGTCTACAGTGAAAAGAAGGACTGGGTTATTTACTTTGGCCTTTTTGGAAACACAGGAAGGAGCAATCAGCTAAGTGAGCTTAGTGCTTGGAAAAAATCTTCCATTCCTTTAGAGACAGCATGAAAAGTCAGCTGAGTACAGACTTAGACTTAGACTTGCTAATATGAAAAGAAAAAGGGACTAAAGAAGCATAGAGAGGAAAATTGCAAGAAAAGGGATAAGAAGAGAGGGACAAACCATTTAACAAATAATGTATGTCTATTCTAACATAATTTTTCTGTCAAGTCACATTACTTCAACTAGGAATGGAGTTTTTTAGGGAAGCCAGAAAGTTAAAACTTGGACTCAAATCAAAGACACAATGATTCCAACAATACTACCAGATTAGATTTAGAGCAGGGGTGTCAAACTGGTTCCAGAATGGGCCGTGTGGCTGCAGGTTTTCTTTCCAACCAAGCAATAGCACACCAGACTCCAGTCATCTCATCAAGTTAGTCCAATCTGAACATGATGACTTGATGAGATGACTGGAGTCTGGTGTGCTATTGCTTTGTTGGAAAGAAAACCTGCAGCCACACGGCCCTTTCTGGAACCAGTTTGACACCCCTGATTTAGAGCCAATGTAACTGACAAACCCAAAAATATGCTCTCATTCCTTCACACAGCTGAAACGCCAACCTGGCCCAGTTTCACAGGTACTGTTAGAACAAATTGGTCAAAATTCCTGAACACTGTTGTCAGATGCTTGTGGTGGTAAACCCAATTTACTCTAAAGCAATTGTTTCTCTTATTATTGTGGTATTTAGTAAGCATAATGAGTTTTTGTAATCCCAACGGTGTAAAACAGTTTAGCGTGATTTAATGACAGACAAGGACAAGGCCTGTATTCCGTTATTGGCCGGGACTCTAAGAATGGCCGGTCTCGCTGTTGGCGTAGGTAAAAAATGGCCGGGCTCGTATAGAGGCCGGGGCTAGAATTAGAACCAACGATGTTCCTGGGCAGTCCTCGACAACTTGTGATAGTAACATACAAGTACCACAGGGGGGTAATGTTTGCTAACGAATCCAAGCCATTATCATGGGAAGTGCCATCCTTACACAGAGATCGTAGTGGCCTTACACAATCGTTCTGATCTGGAAGACAAATGTGATCACCGGTAGGTCTGGTGGTAACCAGGTAGCGTTACAATGACGTCGTTGGCCTTCGTTGTTCTGAATTTCCCTTGAAATATATGATTCTGGTAGCCTGTTTCCACTTAGCCTGCCTCAAATAGAATTTCGCTGTGATGGCAGAACAGTTTCCATAAATTTTTTTTAACTTTGTTTCGCAAGTCAGTTTGGCCAAGATTCCATTCCAGTTTTTTTTTTTTTTTTGTATTGCCGTACAGAAAAATTGCAGCTGCTGGAAGATGTCTGAATAAAGTTCTGTATACCAGTATGGTAACTTTAGTTTTTCAATAAATTAACTTAGTATTTTATAGGTTCAAAGAGACACAAAATCTTGTTTTTATTCATTCCACTGGTTGTCTGTTTTGATCAAATAGAAATAGAGGCCTGCTTCTAATTCTGGCCTCCTTACAATAATGGCCTGGACCAAGATGTATCTGAGTGAAATAAAGGCCCCGTCCTATATTAGAGGATTTACGGTTTGTGTCTGTTTACTCAGTATATCTAAACTCTGGTTTTCTAGCTCCTTGCATGCCAACTTTTCAAAGTAATGTCTTATTCTATAAAGCCCTGCAATGTGGAATAGAAATCATATGAAAAGCTCACCTGTAGTCAATGTACTGGGACAGGCTTCCACCGTTGAAGTAACTCGGGGCAGCCTCATTGTTCATCATACTGAGGATCCTACAGTTCAAAAGGATCAGAGATTTGCATCAGAGAACAAAGGAACGCTTTACCGTCAGCTGCCTGCAGACAAAGAACAAAAGCTGACTTGATGTTGGGGAACTTTCGCCTGATCTCCTCCACAAACACCGGCAGGTTGTTGATCTTGTTCTTGTTGATGCACAGGGCGGTGATGCTCGGCATGTAGGGAAACTTGATGTGAGATGTGTAGTTGTTGGAGTCCAGAATCAGAGTGCTTAGCTTCTCAAGTCGCCCCAGACGAGCCGGGTTCCGGTAAAGACAGAATCAAGGAGGTCACACTGAAAACTTGGACGGCCTGTGTGCAGTGAATGTAGAACCGCTGGCAAAACTTAAACCAGCAATCACAGATATGACACTTTTAGGGACACATTGTTAGACACTAAGGTACCAAGGCATATACCCCTTCATACTGGCTGAAGAACCAATTTAAACCCGGGTAGAATCTTCTTTTAGTGGCAGTGGGAACAATTCACTGACACGTGTATACAGGGGTGAAGCGTCCCACATTAAAATCGCCTCGTCTCTGACCAGCATGCTGTGGGAACACCAGAGCTGGATTGACCTGCTAAATTACATGACACCATTGAACGCAACGTACGAAAGTCAACAACAACGAACAAGCCGAAACAACTCCTTTTACAGCTTTGGGGAGAGGGATTCTTATCCTGGGTGCCATTCCGAACTTAGTCCCGCCCACAACGTTTGAGGTCGGGAAGTTCGGTCTGGCATTGCTCAACAGTAGCGCGAGTATGCTAGCACAATATCTGGCGGGCCAATCAAATTGTCAAGGCGGGCTTTATACGATGATGGACAGATGATCAACAGTAACGTAATCAACCACGTGACCAAAGCGCGCTTGGGTGACAACAACAATGGCTGCCGCTGGAGAGTTGAGGTGTGTAGATTCTGCTATTAGGTCTGTTCTAGAAGATATCGACAGCAAATTAATTTTAAAAGAGGAACAGAGAAACGCGATCAAGGCTCATCTTCTTATTCTAGGCGTGAAACTGCACGCTTTGATTTTTGTTGACAACAACTATGCGTCGCTTAACATACGTCACGCACTCCGTTGCTCTAACCCCTTGCTCACACTGGCTCCGGTGTGGTTACCGAGCCGACGGAGACCGCAACTCCCGCACACCCCCTCTCACACCGCCCTTTTGACTACGTTGCGGTGCGGCTCTGCGGCTCCGGCAGCAGGTCCAGAGATTTAACTCGCAAGAACAGAACAGTTACTTCACGTGATAACACGGCCCAAATAAGGATATTCGCAAGAGCTTGTTGCGGAGGGTCTCGGTAACCGCAGCCAGACAGCTCAGCAGCCGGTGAGAGAGGTTTACGTCTGTTTAATGACTTGGAATAACTGCGGCGCCGCACCCACCGCACCGCAACGGTAAGACCGGAGTTGGTGTGAGCCTGGGGTTATTGGTTGTTATTGAGTGCAGAGGCATTTTTTTTTCCTGGTTGTTCGAAACACGCCCCATAATCAAAGCTCTATGGAGCAGTATCAGACTCATATTCTGACTAGAATTGAGTCGGACTACGTAAGGCTAAGGGATTCTATGGAAGAAAATCATTCTCATTGGAATCTGGCTTTTTTTGGACACCGTATTTTAAACACAGACTTTTTTTACACATTGAATTCCTTTCACTGAATTTTTATCTGGTGAAAATTCAGCTGCAAAAAATTCAACCGGCTAAAATTTGACTTCAAATGGGTTGACCTTTTTGGTGAACTCAAACCAAAGCATTTAAGCTAAATGCAGTCGAGCTTCTAGCTAATGTAATTAGCTCATTTGGTCAGAAAAAAGAAAATTTTGCCGCCAGCCGCTTCTTGCTGTTCATCCAGAGGGATCTTGTAGAGAGGGGGACAATACAGGCAGTAAACGCCTTCTTATGTTTGCTACACCTTCCTAACGCAAAATCCTGGAAATGTTGTCAGAAATTGCTCTGGCAGGGGAAAAATAGCGATTGCTGATTGGTCAGTTGCTGAAGAGGCTCCTGGATAAATTGAAAGGGTAACTCACATAAATTCTTCATCAGTGTCTGTCTGACTTCATTAATGTTCTTCTGGGAAAAAAAGTTAAAATAACCTTTAAAAAACTATATTAAAACTTTTAGATTATGATTATGGTCATACATACTTGAAGGAGAGGAACAAACACATTTGGGTTATAAAATACTTATTTTAGTTTCATTAATTTTGATTCAATTCAGTTTATTTCTATAACGTCAATTCACATCATGGCATCTCAAGGCACTTTACAGTTCACCAGATCATCCAGTCAGATTGATTCAAAGTTTTCTATCTAAGGAAAACCAGTTGATTGCATCGACTCATTGACTCTTCAGCAATCCCTCACACTAAGCGTGCTTGTAGCGACAGTGGAGAGGAAAAACTCCCTTTGAATAGGAAGAAACCTCCAGCAGAACCAGGCTCAGTGTGAGCGGCCATCTGCTGAAGCCCACTGGGGTTCAAGGAGACAGAAGCAGACATAGAAAAAGAAGCATAGATACAAAAGGCAACTGTAAAAGGTGGCATGATCCAGGAAACACACAGCCAGGCACATCCATTACTGCACATCCATTACTGATTTTTTTCAGCTAAAAACTCTTAAGAAGTTTTTACGTGAGGTTCAGGACCCAAAAATAAGGTTTGCATTAAAATTATAATTAATATATTACATAAACTTCATTTATTAGATACTTATATGTATTAGTATTCAAACATTCCTATTTTTGGAAACGACCCAATCCTATATTAATAAAATCCTTGGAACCAGATATATCCACATCATGTGATTCTCATCAGTCTACAGCCAGACTGTCTCTTCATCTGAACCTCTGGAACTCCGTTAGTTTCTATTATTATTGTAGATAACTCTCCCCAGTCAGTCTTTTTTATACTTTTATTGTAGTTTTTGTAAAACTGTATGCACTTAGTTACCAGCTGAAAACAATGTCATCTCTTTAAGTGATTAATGTCAAAATTATTAACAAAAACAGTATTTATGAGCTAATCTAATGACAAACTGTCTGTGCCCCTACCTGCTCTTGATTTATACTATCTCTACTAATGTATCTAATCAGCTCTTAATAACTTTTATTATTTTATTAGCAAACATCCAAGGGTCGGTTCCACCGCAGCCTTGAAGTTGCTTCGCACTAACAGGGTTTGCTACCCTGTCATGTATGTTGGCATGTTGTAAAATGCACGCTTCATGGTTGTAATCGGGTTGGAAACGGCATTTTCATGCAGAAGTATTCATAAGACTTGAACTTTTAGACATTTTGTCACATTGCAGACAGTGATTTGTCCTTTCATAAGCCCCATTCACACTACCCTTTAGAAATCGTGCCGAACCGCGATAAACTAGTACTAGCTCAACAGTAGGGCTCGGCGTGGTTTAATTGTGTTGTAAGTTGAATTGTTTGCATGAGCAGACCGGGTCATCCCCCCTATTTACAGCCAGCTTCCAATAGTTGCTGGTCATGTACATCAGTAAGTTGCTCTGAAAACCGATCCGTGCCGAGTTTGGATCAGTTAACCGCGCTAAGCTCGGTTCCTTTTATACATCTCGCTAGCATGGTTAACAAGCAAACCAACATGGCGGTGCCGGTAACATTCAGGAAGTTTGGTTATAATTGTGATATTTCCTTGTTTGCAGAGAGTCGGGTGAAGAAGGCAGCTTTTGATGAATTTACTTGACTGACTCTGCTTTTGAGAAGTGGATAGGACAAACCGTAGTCCAATCAGGGCTTAAAGACGCAGGAAACAGCAACGGATGTTCAGGTTCATCACATCGCTAGAATCATCACTGGAAATCGTGTGGCACGGTAGGGAAGCCAGTATTTTATGAATGTCTGAAATTCTATGATGATGGAGGCTGACTATAAGGAGATGAAGTGGTCTGCTCATACGCTCTTTGTTATCTGAGATCTGTGCCAGAACTGAACCACACCCTACTGATGAACTGTACCTGTGCTTGGACCAGTCTCGGGACTGGGTAGTGTGAATGGGGCTAAAATCTTTTCAGGAGCCAAACATTTGGTCACCCCTGATTTAGGTGAAAGAACCAGATAACATGCCATATATTCTCCCTGGTGACCATTGAGTTTTATTAAAAGGATACTCATCCAGGATATTGTAACTCAGGTCCAGCACCTCCAGCGTGTCGCTCTGCGTTAGTATGCTGTCATATGGGATCTCTGTCATCCCCTGATAGGCAAAGGAAAGCCAGTGGAAACCTGATGATTGGTTGGCCTGCTTGTGCTCCACCGATATCTGAAGATCCATGACATAAAGAGTCCCTCCGTAACTTCTGCTGCTTCTTCCAACTTGGAACGGTTGAAGTATAATCATGCCATGAGCGACCTCAAATAGAAAATAAACAGGTTATTGTTATAAGGCATTAGTGACGCACTGGAAGATATGTAAACCAACAGTAACCTACTGATTGTAGATTGATTGATTCTGCCCTTTCTGGACTTTTTGAGTTTTCAGTTCCACTTCGATTCTGTTTTTTCAAGTTCATTGTTTTTATTTTCATTTTGTGATATTCTAGTTGTTGTTTTCTCATTGTATTTAAGTTCTTATGTATTTCTTGTTTACTCTCTTTTGCCCCTTATGCCAGTCTCCTTTCTCCTAGCTCCCTTCTAGATCCTTCTGTCCACACCTGCTCCCAATCAGCTGATTACTCCATACATTGTTCTGTTTGGCATTTATACTCCTCCTCTGCAGTTGCTGTTTGCTGGATTCTCTTCATTCCCTCCTTAACCTCTGTGTTCTTGTTCCTGTGTTCCTTGACAAGTTATTTCTGGATTTATGCTTCTGTTGCCCGCACTCGTTATTTAATCTGCCATAAACCATCTCCGCTTCCGTCTGCATTTGGGTCCTCTACAAACCTCCATATAACCTGACCCAGATGTGTGCTTTTGGGATTTACTCTGATGTTGCAAGGCATATTTATTTGTATAGCACAATTCAGTACAAAGACAATGCAAAGTGCTTTACATGATTAAAATACAGGAAGATAAAACAGAATCAAAGCAAGTAGGAAAAAAAATAAATAAAATGAAATAAAAAAATGCAGAAACAAAAAAGAATATTAAAAACAGTTGGACTAAACAAAATATGTTTTAGTTGAACTGTTTAACTAGAACAGTCCAAGGCAATCCTAAACAAATGTGTTGTTAGTCTTGATTTAAAGGAACTCAGGCTTTCCGCACTTTAACAGTTTTCTGGAAGTTTGTTCCAGATAAGTGGAGCATAGGAACTAAATGCTGCTTCTCCATGTTTAGTTCTGGTTCTAGGTATGCAGAGCAGGCTGGAGCCAGAAGACCTGAGTGGTCTGGAGGGTTGATACACTGCTAGCAAGTCTGTGATGTATTTAGCTGCTAAGCCATTCAGAGATTTATAGACTAACAGAAGTATTTTAAAGTCTATTCTCTGAGATACAGGGAGCCAGTGTAAGGACTTTAGAACTGGGGTGATGTGCTCTACTTTCTTAGTCTTAGTGAGGACACGGGCAGCAGCGTTCTAGATCAGCTGCAGCTGTCTGATCTGTTGCAGAATATTAAATAAAGATTTCTTTTCAAATTGCATTTTACACGTTATGGGAATTTTTCATTATCAAGAATTGAGAAAACGGGTGTGGAAACAAAATAAACAGATGGCAGGAGACACTCCAACACTTAAGTGTTGGGAGCTGGAGAAGTACCACCTTCCTCCAGCAGAGTCCGCCATGGATCCTCCTGAGTTCAGCCTCCTGCACAGCTGCAGCCCATTCCATCATCAGAGGATCCACAGTACTTAAGCTGTCTTCAGACCTTGCCTCAACGCCGCAGTGTTGATCAAGTTGGTTAGCACCTAAGCCTAGTATCTCTGAGAACCTTTGTTGACTTTTGAATCCAGACTGGATTCTAACTTTTATCTCTGTCTTCCAGGAAACCAGTTTTTCTCCTGTGAAGCTCAGGAAGAGCTTAACCTGCCGAGCCTGCCCTCTGAGCTCAAACCTGAAGTTTCTCTCTGAACTTCCATGCAGCTCTGGACCAAGAGCTGGAAACTCAAAGTCAAGGTCTGCTCACTCTTAAGAAGTAAGACACTGAAGCAGCTCACGGACTCTGCTGAACAAACCATCTCCGGACCCAACAGTTTCCCTCTCAAGGCTTTAACCAAGAACCCTCAAGGTACAAATCTGAAACTATCAAGAATCAAACTCCTATGTGCAACTCTAACTGAACTGTCTCTCACACAGACTCCGGTGAACCAGTTTTCCAGGCCTGAACCAGAACCAGTCATTCTCTCTGTGCTTGTGACAATAAATCCTGTTAAACCTTTTACTCCAGTTTCCGTCTCAGTGGTGTTCTGCATTATTGGGT